AAGAGAGAGAGAGAGAGAGAGGAGAGAGAGAAATTAATCCAAAACCAAGGCACGTGTACTTCATATAATTGAGAAAAAAGCACAAAAAAATTTGGGTATTCAAACTATTCTGCATTGAGGTTACCATACCCGATATGGTTAAGTAAAAAGCATACTCGAATAGCCTCAGTATACAATCAATTCAATATTAAGGCCACCGCAATTGGTTAAAAAATGAGTTAACACACTTGATTCACTAGTTCAAAATCGATCCAAAATTAAAAGAAACCAACAAGTTCGATAAAGCTACAAAGCAGATATATATTTGAAGTAACCCTCATGGTGGCAAACAAACACCTCAAGACCTAGAAATGTAAGAAGAAATTATGACAATTATTAAGTGAAAGAAGCACTTAAAGAAATAATATTCATTCCAAACACCAAATACTTTCTGAGATTGATAAGTTGATTGCACAAGTGGATGACGATAAAGCTATTAACATTGTCCAAAACCTTGCAAAAATGTTCGATTTCTATACTTTCTTTAATAGAACATTGCCAACTCCCAACACACTAAGGCCCAATTGAGGTGGAGAAAGTAGATATCATATTTGACTATGCCATATCACAAACTAAGCCAAAACAAGTTTTTCTTGTTCCAATCCCAATCAGGTTTTGTAGCCTCCTTCAAATCAACAGGGTCCAAAAACGGACGAGCAAACATGATGCCATGGCGTTCTACATAGAAATACTTCGCAAAGGTTTTGAGCAATATTACATGGACATTGATGAGTATTGGTGACTCCAAGGATCTAAGGTGTTCATTACTTCGGTAGAACCACGTATGTAAGATTATTATTTAAAGATAAAAAAAAAAAATTTCTCTATAGTATAATTTTCCTTTCCATACCACATAAGAATCGGATGCTGAGGTGGTTAGAGTAAAGGGCAGCATGCCCAAAATGGCTTGAGATAGAACCTTGTTATGAGCCCCACCATAGTCTTCGATTGTTTTTTATAGAGCCAGGTTTCCTCAAGTGTGGACATGCAAACACTAACCAAAAGGTGAAGTATTCTGATGAAACTGGTTTTGTGATCCCCATTGACCAAAACTTGTTAGCCCAAGTTCAAATCCTACCTCAAGCAATACTTTCAAATAACTAAAATGACTTTTCAAAATTGATTTCTAAAATAACGTTTTGGTGATTTGTACAGGTTGACGGGCCTCAGCCGAGTCAACCTGAGTCTGGCCCAAATTTATATGGAAACTTGACGTGAGACCATTTTTTACGAATTAAAAAATAGTCCCCATTATTTTATATTTTACACTAAAGTCCTTTTTGTCAGTTTTTTTCCCCAAAAATACCCCCGTTTCGGCACTTCCCCAAAATTTTCTTTTTTCAAGTGAAGAATGGCCCCGACATTTCAAGTGCCAAATCCATTATTTCAAGTGAAAGAAAGGTTCGGCACTTGAAGCGAAAGAGCCATCTTTCACTAAAAAACTAAGTGTTATAATGGTTCCGCATTTTGGCACTTAACAATTTTTTCTTAATCAAGTGTCACGTGGAACTTAACACTTGTTTTAAGTGTCATATGACACTTCATTTAAGTGAGGTGTCAAACCCATGTAACACTTAAAATTTTTTTAATGGAAGATGAGTAGGCACTTAAGATGAGTGGCACTTTAAGTGCCGAACCCATCTTTCACTCATAATAATGGGTTCAGCACTTGAACCATTCAACCCATTTTTTACTTGAAAAAACATGGTTCGGCACTAGAAGCGCCGAATTGGATATTTTGGTGAAAAAATCTAACAAGAAAAGGTACATGGGTGTGAAACATGAAAACTATTTTTATTCCAAAAATATAATGGATTTTTATGTTAATTTCGGCCAATGAACACAAGTTTTGCTAGGAGAAAGGAGTTAATATACAAGGATGATGGATAGATCTAATTCACCAATCTTGGGAGAGAGGAAAGAGAGATAAAGTGGAGTGCGCTGAAAGTTGATGCAAAAGCTGGGCAACTGCAGCTTTCTCCTTTCTCTAATTCCCCTTATAAATTTTCTAAACCACTCGACTTATTAATTGGGATAAGTCTTGGATGACGATGATGATCATGGGCTTTCTCCATTACCAGTCCGCTATCAAATACACGAACAACTGAATAACAAAAAAGATTTCACACATACAAAGTTTTACCCATACATATACACAATTTAACTTAAAACTTTTGCAAAACTATACTTAATTTCTGCAACAAATAATACTGTTCTGCTTTCTTCTTTGACTAGTAATTGTTTGCTAATAATTGTTTCAAAATTTGGACCCTAAACTATTTTGTTTGTCATCTTGAGAGAGAGTTTAGATACATGACACCCTTTTTTCTCCTTCACATTTAGTGAAAATTTTGATGCAGCTTATCAAACATGACAGTTGTTACAACCTTGCTCAACTTCATGCTTGTATGCAACAAGTATATTGCACTCAGGTAGAACAAGTTTTGTTGCCCTGCTATCAACTCGATTGGATACAACGTCTAAAGATGTGTCTTTTTAAACAGACTGAATACAGTTTCCTATAAGTTGATCACTTTTATTACTAAGTAGATTTGAGGGTTTTTGTTCTGATATCAAATTAATTGAATACTTAGACTAAGGATGTTTCTTCTTACATAAATTGAGGACAAATTCCTATGTGTCGGGACACATTATTAGTCCCATCATTTAGCTGAGTTTCATTCTCAATTAGATTGAGCACAATTGCCTCATAGTTGAATTAATATTGTTCGCAAATAGAAGCAGTACTCCATTCTCAATTAGATTGAGTAAAATTACGTCAAAGTTGAATTAATACTGTTCTCAAATAGAAGCAGTATGTTTTATGTTATTGTAATTGAAGCACACTTGCCCAGATGTTAGATCTATTAAATATGAAGTCAGTTCACATTGATATTGAATATTTTTCCTCTCAAATCTACAAGGGGTAGTAGCCACGGTAGTGTTTTAAGAGTAAGAATGACAACATCTGAGTGACTGAATTCATTAAATATAACAAATTCAACATCTGAGTAATTGAGTTCAAAGTACAAGAGCATGAAACTCACAAGGTCCATTTGTGAGTAAAATTAATCCACAGCCAAAACAATAGTGTTCTCAATCTAACCAAGAAAGAAACACAAAAAAAAGAGAATATCAAAAGTATACCCCATATAGGGAACCATACCCAAACAATCTAAGTAAAAAACATACTCAAATCTATTTCAGGGGACGGCCTTCTGTGTCTCCACACACATAAATATGTGTCTAGGGACAAGGGCCATCCCATCTTTTAACTGATGACCCTAAGCCCCAACAAAAAGTGGTGCAGCATAATGGCAGGCACTTTGTAAGTCCATCATTATGGACTACCTAACAAAAGTTGTTAGGTGGCTTGGGCCCATACAATCAAAGATGAGACAGTTTTTGTCCCCAAACACATCTACTATATATGTGCATCAGGACACATAAAAAGTTCTCCAAAAGTATTGAATCAAGGGAAAACTTTCTCTCAATCCCTAACCACATCTAAAGTGAAGATGAGCTTTCTATGGATCCCCATACACATATAATTTATGTGTCTGGGGACCAACAGTCATCCGATCTTGATCTAACTGTTGGTAGTGAGCCGACAACAATGTCACATATTAATTACAATCTATCAAAAATAGTTGTCATTAATATGCCTACCCACAAAAGTTGTTACTAATATGTAACATTATTGTCGGTTCACAGCCAATCATCAATCAAGATCAGATAGTTGTCGGCACCCAAGCACATAAATTATAAGTGAATGGAGACCCATAGAAAGGTTTTCCTATAAAATAAGTGCCCAGGACTCAGAGATCAAGCAACTTTGAGCCGCTTGACTAAACCCAAACACATCTAGTTTATATGTGTGTCAGGATACATAAAACGTTTTCCAAAAGTATTCAATGAAGGGAAACTTTCTCTCAGTCCCTAACCACATACAAAGTAAAAGATGAGCTTCCCATGGGTCCCTATGCACGTATAATTTATGTGTCTGGAGACCAACAACCATCTGATATTGATCTAACTATTAATAGTGAGCCGACAACAATGTCACATTAATTGCAATCTATCAAAAATAGTTGTCACTAATATGTATACCTAAAAATA